GCTACTAAAGCATTCTCATCCCCTTCCCCACCCTCAGGCCCTTCGGACAGAAGAGACAGAGAGATGTGAGGAGAAGGGTTGGAGGGTGGACCGTGCAGTGCTTTTAAATTGTGACAGTTACTTGTGTTTTTTTTTACTTTCTTTTTTAATGGAGGTACTGTTGCTTGAACCCAAGACATTGTACATGCTTAGCACGTGCTCTACCACTGAGCTATACCCACCCTTCCCCCCGATATTTTTGTTTTTAATGGGCATAATGTGCTGGTAGCAGGTACTTCAGCATCACACACAGTCACCTGCCTCTGACCATCACGCAAATAGCTTTCCCCTAAGCTAGAGAGCTAGACTGTTTTGAAAAGTTCAATAAATTATCTACATTTTCTTTTTTCTTAAAAAAAAAGTATTAACTCATTTTTCTCTTTAGTATCGCCTATAAATAAAATGTGATTTTATTAACCATTTACCAAAGTGTTAAGTGTAATAAATATTAAGTACAGTTTTCTGAGGCATCAGTCATCACTGAAGATGCACATTCTGCTGTTCTCTCTCTCTGTTAGTCACCTTAGTTCTGGAGTTCTGGAAGCGGCGCCAGGCAGAACTTGAGTACAAATGGGACACGGTTGAGCAGGAAGGACAAGTCCGGCCAGAATAGGAGGTGCGGTGTCCCCACGTGGAGATAGATGAGATTACCCAGGAAAAGCAGGTGCTGTTTAGATGCACTTTAGTCTATTTACTTCTGGACTTGTCAGCCTTGGCTGCATGTTGGAATCACCAGGGGACCTTAAAAAATGTTGGTGCCTGGATTCCATCACTGGAAACTCTGATGGTACTTAGTGGCCTGGGGTGCATTCTGGCATAGGGAAGTTTATAAAGCTCCTCTGGTTATTCTAATGTGCACCCAAGGTGAAGGAGCACTGCCTGGAATGGTGGACACAGAAGAGAAGTGTGGTCCTTCCTTCATAATATCAGTAAAAGGGGGAAAAGAAGAATTCTGGTATAAGTGTATAAGGGGCATTGATTTTTATCCTTTAATAACACCAAAAAATAAATGCAAAATATAAATTAGCCGCTATGACATGGATGTAGAAGGAAAGACACATTGGTTTTTATAGTTGACTCCCATTTTTTCACATGTGTCTTCATTATTGCGGCCTCCTTTTCATCGTAGACTAGGTGCCCCTTTGTCTTGAACTAAGTCCCGGTCACTGCTCCCCCTTCCGGTTGGGATCTGCACAGAGCAGCGTGGCTCTAATCCTAAAGTCAGAGAAAGGGTAGAAGAAGCAGGGAAACATTTGTTGAGGTGCCATCAGTGTTTGAGCAGTGTTTGTGCTAGGCATTTTACATAATT